CTGTCATTGTTCCTGCTGCCTGTCCCCAGGATTCAGCTGGCACTTTACCTTGCAGGTGAGTCAGATGGGAGCACAGGTGTCTCTCTTGGTAATAGTGATGCTCATCAGTACTGAGACTGTCACTAAGCCAATGCATATTTCAGGGCTTTTTTCTATATTTTTTTCAATGTTTTTTAAAATCTGTTAGAATTTAAATCACTAGTGGCTGGCTCACCACATGATATAAATTGCTATTAGGAGAAGGGTGGCTGGAGTTTGGTCTGTGAGGGCTTTCTTCTTCATTCTTATGGACAGTAGCAGGGATGATTTAATCTTCTTTTACAAAATTTGAAAAAGTTTCAATCTGGGTGCAATTCAGTTCTCTCTCATGCAGGTGCACGTTTCCTTTCAAATGTACTGGCCATTAAGGTAGTGGTAAGTACAAGTTGTAGTCTAGCTGTTAAAGGAAAATTTCCAAACATTTCCCTCTTTTGTTAAAATGTAAAGGGCAAAGCTTCCCCTGAAGGACCCCACAATGATGCTTACCACTGTCAAATTTGGAAGCTGTACTAATGATTCAGTAGAGGCGGTCTTATTGCCTTTAACACAGCTTCAACTGGTGTCACTGCTGTATTTGAACCATGGCAGAAGTCCACTTAGGTGCTTGTGGCAGACAACCTGTCCCTCTGAACATTGCAGTCTCTTTCCAATTTTTTAATGAAGAAGCGTGTGTTTGAGCTCACAAAAATGTTTGGCAGCTTTCTAAAATTAATGTCAAACAAAATTCTGGGTGTCCATTTGGATTTAGGATACGTGTAAAACACCCCAGCATCAGCCCTGTGAAGTCCTAGTTGTGTTTTCTTAGCAGGCAAAGCTTTCCTTGTCGGTAAATCAAAAAATGGAGACTTTGGCATGAAAAATTCAAAAGGATTAAAAAAAAAAAAACCCTGTTTTTCTCCTGAAGGCTGTGGTATCACTGTTCCCTTCTGTTCACAAGGCTTCTGGTAGCAGAGGGACATGCTTTGGGTGGTGTCAATACAAATATACCTAATTGGGTGCCTCAGCCTCTTCAAAAAAAGTGAATTGAAATTAGTCTAGTCAATCTGATCCATATGGATGCAAATGCTCTGCTGTGAAAAGGAAAGGCAAGTCCTGTGCCTTTGTGAGATGCACCAGTGTGCATGTCCACCTTGGCTGGGTTGACTGTCAGCTGATCCTTTTGCTGTTGTCCTTCTGATGTTCTGTACATCATGGGCTGCATTTACAGCTTGCAGTGTTTCTATGTGAGGCTAGCTGGGAGCTTGCAGACATTTTCAGTGAGCTCCACCTTGCACTGGACGTGCCTGCATTGGGCAAATCCAGTCTTAGCCCTTGTTGAATGCTGTATATAGGACCCGTCTTTGAGAAGCCTACTTGGACAGGTCCCAGACTTCAGATTGCAGCTTGATGCCATCAGAGCGGGTGGGATGAGTAAGAAGCTAGAAAAAACTGACTTCAGCTTCTCTGCCTGACTGTTTGTGGGCAGTGATTCAAAGTGCTGTCTGTAGGTGTGGGTGTTGGATACTTGTCTTTTGCACCTGCTGTGGCAGGGTAGGCTAGGTAGGATGTACTTGTTCCTAGAACTGAATATTCGAAGATCTTGGTCAGTTGAGAGCCTCCCTTTTGGAAGTCACTCTCCATGATACATTGACGTAGTTTTTTATTTGCTGGCTGAATGTGTCCCTAGTTTAGATAGATGAATTAACTCGTAGCTCATGCCTTCAGCAATGAAGTTCTAGGTTATCTTCTTGATGATGATGGCCTGTAAGCAACCTTTCAAGTAGCTGTGGTTGAAATGGGGCAGTATGCCATATTGTCATGCTTCTATTTTTCAGTGTAGATATACTTCTGTTCCTGGGAGTATTGCCACCATTTAGAGTGCCTTCAGGAGCCTGCACAGGCTTCGTGGAGGAGGCTTGCTTGGCTTTTCACGGGGGTGGTACATAGCCTGTGAGCTGATCAGCAGAGTGTAGCATCAGTGACAAACAGCTGCTGCTGCCTCTGGCTTCAACTTGACATGATGAGGGACCACCTGACCCCTAAAGCACCAGGTGTAGGAACATCTATGCAATATTGCCCTTGCAAATATGCCAGACTCCTAAACTTTGTGGACTGTAGCAAAAAGAATATCAACTGAGTTCAACCCAGCAGCTTTTTATGAAAAGCTGTCTGACATATGCTATAAAGATAGAGGGAGAAAATATGTTGGTACAGTCATTTTTCTGCTTCTGTGAGTCAGCTTGTTCTAATGGGTTTTGAAGTGGATAGCTCATCATCATTTGGGGTTTTTAAGTGCAGGTTGTATGCAGTGTTAGCTCACTCAAATTTCTGCTGTGCCATGATTGACTGGCCTAAAGTTACATCATCTAAATATGATAGTCAGCCTTAAAATAACAAGAAAACATGCTTTTTAATGCTAATTACCCATTGAAAAGAAGTGTTTTGTTTTTTTTGTTTTTACTTTTAAATTTAAACAGCAAATAGTAGCTTTGTAAGGCTGGCTTTATCTCATCTCTGTTGATTAAATCAATGCATCGGTGAGCAACATGTGGCTCTTGGGCTACTTGCAGCACAGGAGTAGTTGGAGTGTGGCTCCCATGCCGGGGCTGTGCAATGTGACCCGGAGTGTGGGCTGTGTTGGCCTAGGGCCTGTAGATAATCCAAATTATCCAAGCAGGTGGGAGGAAGCAAATTAGCAGAGGCTGGTGTGGCTGGTACCACCTGATACCCGGATGCATCCCAAGCCTGTGGTGTAGCAATGTGATCCCTGTGGAGCAGTTGTTCTATGTATCCTATAAACCTTTCCCTTCCTTTCCTGCTCCTTATGCAAAACTGGTCGTGTGATGCTTGGCTGTATGAGGATAGTTTTGGTTGGCAGGGTCTGGAAGAATGGTCAGCCCTTACTAGCAATTAGTGGACAGCAGCAAGCCATTCTCCTGTCAAAGCCTATTATTGCTGTGGCCTCTCTTCTTTTCTATCCCCCTCCTGCTCCCAGTCTTCAGCTTCCTGATGTAGTCACGTTTCTGTTCTTTGCACTGCTTATGAGACCCCACCTGGAGCACTGCGTCCAGCTCTGGAGCCCTCAGCATAAGGAAGACATGAACCTGTTGGAGCGGGTGCAGAGGAGGGTCATGAAAATGATCAGGGGGATGGAACACCTCTCCTCTGAAGAAAGGCTGAGAGAGTTGGGGTTGTTCAGCCTAGAGAAGAGAAGCCTTCGGGGAGACCTTATTGCAGCCTATCAGTACTTAAAGGGGGCTTATGAAAAAGATGGTGGCAAACTTTTCAGCAGGGCCTGTTTTTTTTACGCTGGGGGTGGTGAAACACTGGCACAGGTTGCCTGGGGAGGTGGTGGATGCCCCATCCCTGGAAACATTCCAGGTCAGGTTGGACGGGGCTCTGAGCAACCTGACCTAGTCGAAGATGTCCCTGCCCACAGCAGAGGGGTTGGACTAGATGACCTTTAGAGGTCCCTTCCAACCCAAACCATTCTATGATTCTGTGATTATTGCTTATTTTGCCTAACTGTTAGACTGGACCTCAGCCTTGGGAGCCTTTCTGTGGCCTAAATCAGTGACTCACAGCAGCGCAAGGTTTTTTATATATATATTTAAAAAATATCTTTTGTGTATGTGTGTATACACATGTATGTGTGTACATACATATCTTCATAATGCACTGGACAGTTTTCGGTTTAAAGTTATGTGAGTTGGTCTAAGGTCTTGTTGCAGCTTAGTTGCACATCTGCATACACCTGGCATCAAATACAGAGATAAGCAGGTAAATCAATACAGCGCTGGTGAGAAATGCATTCATGGTAGTGTGTATGAGAGAAGAGATGGAAGCAACTTAGAAAAAGTACATGCGGGATGAACGTAGAGACCATTTTTCAGTCTGTCAGAATTCCTTGCTGCTTTGTTGAGTTGCAAACTTCAGTCATTTATGTGAGTAACAAGTGCATGGGATGGAGCTGCACCAGGCATCGGGCCATGGAGAAGTACATTTTGAGTGCTTTGATCTTGGCTTTAGATTCAAATCTTGTCTGTTAGTGTAAATTGAGAAACTTAAGTCTGCAATTGCTTAATCAGTTGGCTACCTTGTTTAGTTAGATAAACTTCTCTGAACTACTTGTACTGGTGGTAATGCAGATAAATAATGCAAATAGTGTTTGTTCTAGAAGAAAGATACCATTTTGAAAGAGCAGGAAAGAAGAATAAGTTCGCTAGTAAAGATCTATTTGTGCTTTTAAAACTTAATTTATTCTGAATGAAATATTCAAGCTTGCATAACTAAAAGAGTTGAAATTGAAACTTCAAAGTAAACTTGTTCTTAGCCTCATCGAGGAGGGAAAACCAGTTCGAGATATAAACAAAATTTAAATGACTAAATCAAAACTGTCTGTTTTAATGCATATTGGAACATCCTGCTTTTGCTGAACTTAACGACAGTACTGCATCCTTGCCTTCTTACAACTACCCAACATGGAGAGAAGCTTTTACTGCGCTGTTGGAATGAAATAGTTGGACTCCTCTCGGGGTAGCTTACTTAATTCTTGTAACTTGGATGTAGTACTTCCATGTGGCTTCAGTAAGTCTTTGTTTACCTGTACGGTCTATGCCTGTGTACCACATGAGCATGCCAAAGCTCTTTGCACATACAAAACTTGAACCTTGCAGGATTGCTTCAAAATTGTTATCTAAGGTTTGCCTTTCCTGATGAAGGTTTAAAAACAAACAAAAAAACCACAACACCCCACTCCCTTGAAAACAACAAAAAAAACCCCTCCACCTGGTAAAGACAGACAAGTCTGCAGCAGCTCTTCCTTTTCCAGCTGTTTTCCGAATTCCTGTTCTCTTTTGCCCATTTTTAATAGCATAGACTGTCCCAACGTAAACTGTTCTTTACTGTTTACCCTCCATGAAACAGCAATCGTTCTCCAGTTGTTTGCATCACAATAGCAGATTGTCTGTTTATTTTTCTAGCAATCAGAAATGGATTGTGGTGTTCATCTTAAGAAAACAAAACCTCAGGATTCTGGTAGAAACCATGCACAGCAAGATGAGGAGACCAGTCTCGCAAATACCTTGGAGCATATTATGGAACAGCTGGATGTTCTGACTCAGGTATGGTTTGCTCTTTAATTTTGTAATGAAAAAGGTACCTCTGACTGGAAGAATTGGGAATATTTTGCAATAGTTTCATAGAATAAAAGTGTGGCTAGTTCAAAATCTCTGCTTCTTCGTAGTTTTTTGATAAATCCATCTTCATTTGCTTGTCAGCTTATCTCTCTCGGTTCCCTCACATCGACTTCTGGCTCAGGCCCTGCTCTTCCCCTAATTCCTTTATGTTGCAGTGTAGCGGAGCACTACTTGAGCCAGCTCTGGTACCCTGTGCTATTAGCCAAGGTTTATCTAAGGTGATGCCTAAAGGAGTGGTTGGCAGTAGGACTGTTTTGGTGAATAATCTCTCTTCCCTCCTCCATTATACTGCAGTCTATAGGTAAACTCTGTTCAGATCCCGCTCCTTCCCCCCCCCAGCATTCACCTACACAGTCCAATTTCTGCAGCATTCTCTTCCTATCAAGTCTGGGCCCTTCTGTGCCTCATCTCTGAAACATGCTTTTCACCCACAGCTAGCAAACAACTAATCCTGTGCTAAAGCATTAACGTACAGTTCTTTCTCAGAGTCCCTAAGCAATGCTTGAACAGTACCAACCATTAATGGTGATCATTACAGTATGTGTTTACTTAATAAGAATTTGGGGATAGAGCTGTTTTTTGTTTAACTGAATAGTTGCTCACTGCTCCTGTGAAGAAATACCATTTCTGATCATTGTCTGGGGCTGAATTTCATTGTGTATTTTTAAGGTATGTGAGAAGCAGGGAGAAAGCATGGGATAGTAAACACTGGTGATCTCCTGTAGATGAGACCATGGTCGTAGGATGGAAAAATCTGTGTGGGAGGGTTTTTCTGTGAGTTTGAGTGTTCTTTCTGAGGAAGAACAAGCAGGTCTTGAACACTTGGTATTGAACATACTGATTACTAGTCCCAGTTAGCACTCTGCTCTTGAGAAGAAGTACTTGTCAAAAAGTGTAAGATGATGGGTTGCAGGGCCCATCAGGGGATTGAAGTAGGGCTGATTTAGGGATTAAAAAACATTCCAGGACTACAGTCAGTCTAAAATAGTGTAGGGTGAAAACCAAAAGGTATTTAAGTTCATTTGGCAGAAATGCAAGAAAGCACTTTTCCTGTGGTCTCTAAAATGCTGAACACTGGAGGGGGGGCGATGTGGGAATCTGGTATGACATTGGGCCCTCATGCTTGTGAGTAAAATGCAACCCAGTATATACACAAAATATTTTATTACTGTTTTTATGTCTCCCTAGTAAGTTTGGAATGTGATCATTATCTTTCATTACATAAATCAGATCCACACTTCTGATGATGGATGTGTAATGGCTCCTTTTCAACTTCATAGGTGTTTAGAGGAGGCAAATATTGCAGTAAACAGTATGTGTGGGATTTAAACTAGACATAAGCAATGCAAACATCTCTCTCAAAGATATTGTGTAACCATAGAAAATTCCAAATGTTGTTTTAAACCTAGCAGAAAGAGAAATTGAGATCAGTGGGGGAGGAATAAATTAGTAGGTTATAGGATAAAATTGGAAATAGGCCTGAAATTATAGTAAAAAAACCAAAAAGCTGCCTTGAGTAACTCTGCATTCAGCAACCTCTTACCTTTGTAGCTTTTTTGCCATCCTTGAAGTACTCAATTTCCCACTGGTTCTAATGTTCGTATGTTGTATTTTGTATTAACACCATTTTAATGCATTTGTACAAGTAGATGTTCCTGACACAGTGTTGAAATGGTTTCATAATTCTTCATTTTCATGCCAAGGTTTTGATATTTAGCAGTGAAACAAACCAACACCAAACAAACTTAAGCAAATCAGCCTGGAAGTCCTCATTCCTAGAGTAAGGGAGGAGGTTCCTCAAAGAAGAGGAGGGATGCAGGCAGGTAGCAAGGCACAGCCCTGGAAGGTAACTCTGGAGGGCATCTGCTTACATAGCTAAATTTTTGGTTTTTCCAATGCTGATGGCCTGTAACAGAAAAGAATGCAGCTCCAGTAGGGCCACTGTTACCCCTCTTTCATGCAATTAGATGTTGACCAAGAGGAGCCATGGTGTGCTGATTGCTAGCAGAGATCCAAGTGAGATGGAAACAGTGGCTGGTGATGTTGGGTTGCTTGTCTTTCCTAGCCATTTCTGCCAAAGCACAACTGGGTGCTGTTCCCTGCACGTAGCAGATTCAAACCAACGTTGTGTGTTTTACATGGCAGCTTTGGGCCTGCTGACTTCTTTTCGTGAAAGGAAGACATCGCTACTTCTTCAAAAATGGAACAAAAAGCTTTCATAAATAACACATAACAGGTGTCGGTATTTTTTACCTTCTTGAAGAAGGGCTGAGGATGCTCCTGGTACTCTGTTATAAATCATTGGCTCATAATTCCTGAGTGTTGCTTGTTTAAAGAGAACACTAATGGCATAAGCAGGGCCATACAGTTGAAGGGAAAGGACAGAGTCCCCATGATATTTCCAGAAACCCTCTATTGATATAGCCATTCATGGTTTTTTCAGGAATTTATAATTTGTTAGCTCCATGGGGGCTTGGGTATATTTCTGATGTGGTACCTTGAGCTCCTGCACTCTGTTCTTGTCGTAGTTTCCAACACTGTGTTAACGTGATGTAATGTACCAGTGGGGGAAACTTAAAAGTGATAAACTACTTTGGGAAATTATGCAAATATAAACCTAATTTATTTTCCTAATGTTTTCTCCATAGCTATCATTTCAAGGTTTATCATGCTAAACCTGGTATCATGTAAAAGTGGGAAGGAGAGAAAATACTTTAAATTTCTGCTGAAAGAGGTAATGGTAAGACATCAGCTGAAGGCTGTCATCTCTTGTCAGTGCACAGCTTTGTTGTGAGCTGCACACTTGAAGCTGCAATGTCTGCCGCTCACCAATTACCAGTACCTTCCCTCTGTTGACAATAGATTTCCAGATGAAGTGGGGTGTCATGTACTTGGAGACAGCGGGATTGTTTTTATTCCATTAAGAGGTCTCTTCCTGCCAGACACCAATTGCAAGTAGAAGCGCTGAGGCTGTAGAGGCGTCGTGCCCCGTGCAGCAGGATACACTTGAGCAGACTTGCTCTTTCAGTTAGGCACTTCAGTTCTTATTAGAGAAAGATGGATCAGGAAAAACTAGTGGCTGTTATGTACCACATCTGGCAGTCACTGCTATAGCAAATAGATATGACCCCCTCGGATTTACAAAGCTTCATTTTATGTTGTTGACTTTGTGCTATGATTTTATTCTTTAAGGTTTTGGCAACTTTCTTTAAACTGGTCTTTGATTCAATGAAACCTTCCTTTCTTCCTCATCACCAGAACTCTGTCAGGACATGTTCTGTTTTACTTGTAAGAAAGTGGTATAATGCAACCTGACAGGGTCTTCATATTTTTTTTCCTAAATGTGTTTTGTGTTTGACCATACTTCACATGCAAATGAAGAAGTTAATGTTTAACTGCCTTTTTCAGAAGGGTAGCACGTGTTTCATATTTCTGCTGCCTTGAAGGATGGAGTGAAGTTGAGACCCAGACACAAGCCGGTTGTTTCCAGTAGTTTTGGATTACTTAAAGATACCCTGGTGCCCCTTTGTAGGGAAGCAGGCAATTCAAGTCTGGCAAGGGAATGAGGAAGATGAGACTAATAAATGTATGATATAGATACTTTGCTCCTCCCTTTCCTGCAGCTTAGTATCTTGTCAGTATCTCAATGTTTAAAAATCCTATTCTTTACTGGCATTTCAGAGATGTGAAAAGGAGGAAAATGCAAAATGTTTATTAATTATTGTTTTATCAAAGGCTGGATCTCATATCTCAGTGCCTATATGAAGAGGTGGGCAGAATATTAAAGTTTAAGGGGAAAACAAGGTGCTTTTATCTCTTGGCTAACTTCCTGGAACAGAAAGGTATGTTTTGGCTGAAACAAAAATGGGGCAGATATTAAGAGTTTACTTGCTTCAAATGCATTTTCTGCACTTGCAGCTGAACTGCACTTCTGAAAGAAGATCATCTGTGAGTAACCATCTTGGCTGCAGTGGAAAACTTGCATTTGCAATGATCATCTTCAGAGTTCGTATACTCTTGCCCTCACTCCAAACACCTGCAGCTGCCATGTTCACTCTTAATCTGTAACACTGGGGGGCAGTGGGCACTGAGGCAAAAGCTGCTGGTTTTATGCGGGAAGGAAGATGTCTGCTCCAAAAGAAGAGTTGAGAATCAGGTTAGCATAAAAATTCATAAATAGCTGTGATAATCCACCCACAGGAAACAGCTTTATATACTTCCCCAAACTAATCTTGCATTGAAGCTGGGAGAAAACAACAGAGTGAAATGGAGAAGACTTGATAAATCTGTAAAATAATCCAAGCCTGAACTGAAGGACAATCTAGCTCATGTCAGATTAAAGGATTATTTCACTCCAGAAAAGATTGCAGAGGGAGGGAGGAGAAGAATTTTTAAAATGAAACTCTTTAGCATAAAAAAGACTTGCACACAAGTGAGTTGCTTTTTAATTAAAACTGAAAATGTTTGTGTGTGCAATGCTTATAATGAAAACAAGTAAAATCAAATTTGTTACTCCTTTTTTTTTTGCGGTGTGGTCTCCAAAGCCTGTTGGTGAGGAGAGGAATGAATGTGGCCCCTCTCTTCTCAGAGGTATTGAATGTAGATTAAGCAACTAGTTTAGTAAAATAAATGCTTTTATGACTTCAAGTAGTTACAAGTCAAGGAGAAAGATTATTTTTTGCGGGGGTCATAAGTGCTGCTACCTCTGCCTTGCGCAAATGTCTTGGTTTCTATGTTGCTCTCAAGACCTGAACACCCACTGGCTACAGGTGGACCCAACACATAGCAGAAAAACTGCAAGTAGTTTTTATTCCAAGTGAAATGGTTTGAAATCCAAAACACTAATAAAAATTCCCATCTGAAAAATCTGTGAAATGCCAGATGAGCTTGGTTTTTAAATCTTAATTTAAAGGACATAGAGGCTA